TTTATGCATGCATGCAAGATTCTATGTTAGACAATTATTTACATTATCGATTTAGGCATTTCCCCGTAATAGTATATAACGTAATCCACTACCCCTTTATAGAGGGTTTGGCATTTCTTGCCTACCCTTTTCCCGTGTGGAAATATTACAATATTATTACTGAATTATATTTCTAGTGTTATATTTTTGTGTAACAACACAACGTGCACCCCACTACCCCTTGTAACGGGTCAGGCATTTCCTGCCCATCTTTTAGGTGTGTGGAATAAAGTACGTTGTTTAAACCTTACTCGTGTAGCGTATACTTGTTGTTTATGTCGCATATAAATTATACAACTGTCTTAAGTTTCGAATTATTAAAGGACCCAGTTCACAGGGGTGTTATGGGTGTCATTTGTTTGGGACAATTTGAAACCTTAGCTCAACCCAACTAGCACCCTGTGACATAGTATAATGACTGTGATAATTAATCGATTGAGTACATGCGGCGACAAATTATTGGATTGGCAGCAGCAGGACGATAAATGAAAGATATCAGTTAATTGTTGAGGAAAACATAAAACAAAACAAATGCAGCCAGTGATACATTTCGAAAATACAAATACAAAATAAACGCAATCAGAGGCGCCGACCACGCACGTTGGAAATAAATAGAACATGTTGCGACAATCTCACCAGACTCTTTCATTCACGCAATATAATTATGCTATTTCCCAAAGCACTTACATTTACATGTAATACATTGACGAAAAACACCACAAGAAAATGTAAATCAGGCTTGTAATTACTAGTAACTCAGCTTGAACGCAATATTGATCACTGTGAAAGTGGATAAATTCTAACCGCCATCAAATTCCAATTTCTCGTCGAATGTCAATCAAAAATAAACTTGATGTTTAGAAAGACAAAAACAACAACATATTAGAGTGCAAAAAAAGTTAGCAGCAAAGAAAGAGAAATGCATGTGGGAAAGCGATGAGTGAACTCGAGAAAAACAAGCCATGCATGGCACAGTCCCTGTTAGATATCAAATTTAAGATATATAGTTTTGTTCATACATGTAGTCATATATCTGGAATATAACCATGTCAGGAATATGATTATGATGATTGTTTAACATTAAAATGATTGACATTTGTATCTGATCATCAAACAATACATTGTACTTGTCCATATTAGGAGATATTGCTCTGGAACAGCATTAATTGAAACAAAATCAGCCATTTTGAATACATGTATATATCTATAACATGATGTACAATGAATATATAAAATTTGAATATAATCAGTCAAAGCATGTCAGCAGGGTTTTCATTAGAAGCCGGTCGCCGGCTTATTTGCCGTCTAAACAATCTCGCACGGCCGTCTACTGTTGCAGAATTCAATTGAAGGTCATAGGTCACACCTGTTGTCACGTGGTTGATTGGAAAAAATGGCGTCCAAACGTAGGATGGCACAGGGAAACAAGACGGAATAAAATCTCGCAAAATTGAAGAATTGACACTTCACCGTAGTGAGACTGAGCATCATGTCAGTTACATACAAACACGACTGAGATTATTAAAATAAATTAATGCACATTTTATTTTATTTTTAATTCATTGTTTCAGCCAAACAGACCTATTTATGTGTTATGTTATTTATATTTAAGTAAGTACATATTTATTGTGGTGGTGTATTTTCATAGATTTTAAACATGAATTCAATCTACAAGTATAATATTAAATTTTATATTTCTTCATGTTCATTGTGGCTGATTTTATGAATTTAAGTTTGTAGTGTTATGTAATATGTAATTACTGGCTTACATTGCAAAGCATGCCTGGTTCTACTGCAAATGTTATAGTTATGCATGGTAATTTAAACCTGTAGTTTTGCTATTGCTTTAAGATGTCTATATGTTTGTTATATAATATTACTACATGTATAAATAAAGTGATCACAAATACAATCTTTCACAATAAACAAATTACTATTTTGGTCTTTATTTAAACCACATGCCCACATGCAAAATGAGCAAAAATATATTCAAACCTGCCACCAAATGTCACGAATATGTCTTTGGTCACTCCACTCCTGCCCCCCGAAAGCAACTTGCTCGCACTGCGCTGCGAAGCTATGCAGCCGTTGGGCGCCTCCTACTATTTTAATTTAGCCTCTTACTTTGAAAGTTAGGGAAACCCCTGTTTCAGAGATATGGCTCTAGAAGCCCAATCATTAAACCAAAATGGCCGTTTTGAATCCGATCTGAAAAATAATATGATGTGCATCAGGAACCCGTTATATGTCTATTGTAACTAAGTTTGAACGAAATTCATCTATAAATGCCAGAAATGCCATTGTGAAATTCTTTTGTTTTTATGTAAAAAAATACAGTATTTTTACCAAGTAAAATCATATTTATTTAAGTTATAGTTCATACATGAGTTGTCGAACACACTACATAGTTTGTAATTTCATCCAGCTCCTTTCAGTCACAATTCAAGACAAATAAAAGGCACAAATATAGATAATATAGCAAATTATTTTTTTCTGTAATATTCGTGTGTAATCAGTAATTATGAAAATAATTTATGGGTTATTAATTTATGGAATACATTTTTTTTATGAATTATTCTTAATATAAATTTCTAAAATAACCTTGTCAAAATCAGTTTTTTTATGGTTTTTTCCCCCAAAAGACAAAAGAATTTCATAATGTCGAGAACGGGAAGTCTTTTTCTCATTGTTATTATTATTTATTGGGAACGGAAAGTCTTTATCGTAGTGCTTCGCCTCAGTTGACAATGAGCTTTTCGGGTCACTAAAACTGTATCCATCCATCTCTGTTGGGGTGAACATTTGTATTATTAGACCGAATAAATCTTATAACAGAAATTGTGGCACTCAATGGCAGTCTTCCAGGTAATCGGTAGAAAGATTTTCAGAGGCAAATTCAATCTCCACTCAAGGCTATGGGATATTTCATGCAAACATTGTCAATGGTTCCCCGACACAGATTCCTTTTTAACTTTCAATTTTTCCAAGACGTCGTCGAGATGCAGGTGCGATTCCTAGTCCCAGCGTGTTTTATTTATTACCAACGCGTGTGGTCGGCGCCTTTGATTGCGTTTATTTTGTTCTTTTATTCACGAAATCTATCACTGGCAGAGTTTGTTTTGTCGCGTCTCACAACTGAATGTTCAAGCTGACTTTGTTTTGGCTGTAAGTGAACTACGCACAGCTCATGGAAGTATTTCGCCCCGAGTTCGCAAAACGAAATGCCCTGCAAAATTTGAATCAAGACATTGGGTGCAAAAATAAAAACCATAATTGTAATTCAACAAGTTTATGTATCATGTTAGTCCGCTTGCCAGCCGCCTAGTTAAAAAACGCGATCTCCATTGATGTCAGCTTCGACAACTTTGGACAAGTAAGATGGGCGCTGGCCGACATTACATTTGCAAGTATTATATATGTTTGACAAATTGTACAGTACGGCCATTCTATAACAATCGATTGGTCGATTTTTTTCACAGTCTTACTATTCCTGCAGATATTCTTCAATTGTTATAGGTGCCACGGATTTACATAACTACAACTTGACCTGTGTTAAACCCAAACCATGCGTGCATGTCAACTGTCACCCTACACACGGTTACTCAACGAATACCGTACTCTACAGTAGACATTTTTCGCTCTCCACTAAAAATAGATGGTTTTATTTCATATTAGTTGTGTCTGTGTCAGTGTCGTATTTGATTTCACATGTTTGGTCAGATCTTGTTTATGGTGGACATTATTACTACGCGTATGTATTATTAAAAATTTTATATGGCAGTGTGATGCACCATATTTTTTTAATGGCCGTTCTATAAATTTAAGTATTTATTCTTCTTTTTTTAACATCATAAAAACAAAAATGATACACTTGTACATGAAACAATAGTTAATGAACTGTAAATGCGGGCGGTGTGCCGTCAGGCGAGAAAGCGCGCAAGCAGATACTTCCGGATTTGCACGGTCGAAAAAAAAAAAAAAAACGGAAACTGTCCAATCGAATTGAAGAAAGCGAGCAAAAAAAAGCGACTGAAATCCGGAAGCGGGCGGGAGGTTGGGCGAAATGAGTATTGTAAGCAACATACAGATATGGGTTTGAATGGAATGATAGTTTTCTTACCATTGACATGTGTACCAAAGTCTATTTTACATACATCATCATATGTCAGAACAGTTGTATCACCATTATTAGGTGTGTAATGTGCAGCACAATAATTCAATGAACATCCTGTAGGAAACGCAAGACCAGCTTTCAAACCATTCTCATTGATCAACTTTCTTCCAGCTGTTTCAAGTCTCTCACTACCAAATAAATTGATATCATGTATCAATTACATCTATAATTACTGCTAGTGGACAACGCAGCAAAATAACAATTAGTTAGTGAGTCTGATTATTGAAACCAGACCACAGGATATGCAAGTTTCTATTTTTATAGGTTAAATATTATTTCTAGGCTGTATAGTAATTTCAAATACTGCAATTACGAGTGTACATGTAATATAAAGACAGCAAAGTGGTAATCCTTACATGCACTCACCAAATATCTATCATTTGTAAACCTGGTTTCAGAAAACCCTGTACATATTTTCTAACTTGTCTATGTGTCTCGGCTGCTTGACGTATATCACTGTATATATCTGCTTCTGCTCTCTCCATTGCTTTCTTCTCTTCATTGGTGGTCCGCCATGCAGCAGTCACTCTAAAAATAAACATTGTATAAAAAAATAATAATAGCAGGTAATGCTGATAAACAAAGGCTAATTCAGTTGTAACAAGTCATTGTTAATGACACAGTTCCCGTCCAAAATTTTGTGATCTGACATATCAATTTGATGCTGATGAAGTCATTGAGATTAGATTGAAACCATTAATAGGAGATGGATTTGTAAAAAATTAAGATTTAGTGGTTTTACACGAGAATTGGACATTATTTTACATCCAAAATGGCCATCAGTCAGCTATTTTTGCTCCGATCATAAAGTAACGCGCATTAAGTATTGTCTCATGTAAAGTTTGGATGAAATCCATCAATAGGTGTCCGAGATATAGCTCCGGACATACGTACCTATGGACGGACAGACGGACAGACGGAACGAACCCAAATTAATAGCTTTATTAGTCGGACAAAATCAGAAAAAGGGGACTAATAAAGCTTATATCTATACTTTACAGTACTCGTATCACTTAACCTGCAGCTCACTTCCACTTTTCTATCACTCATATTCCACTTGACTTCATGTCTACTTGTTGAAATCAATTTCTGGTTATCAACCACTCTTATTTCTGTTCTGTTATATTTTCCAGGGGCATGTACCTATCAGTTTACAGCCATGTCTCTCATAAATCGATCCCAACCAATTATCAAAACATAATTTTTATCAGAACAACATCACTGTGACATTGTCATTATTGCATAGAATGAAACCACACCATAAAATTGTCTTTATTTCTCTGCTCTGTCCGAAAGTTGGCATTGCCTTTCTCACAGAACTGTCTTGATAATAATTTTTTCGAACTGAAGGGTCCTTGATTCAATTAAGCGATAAACGGCCAATAAAAAGTGCTAAAAGAATGAGATTGATTGAAATGAGTACTGTATCCATATATATAATCTTTATTGGTGATAAACAAATAATGCTGCCTTTGTGACTTACCCATCCACATCAGGATGAGGCAGGATCTGCCCTTGTGGATAATTTCCATTTGGAAATATTTCACTAATAGGAATTGTTGGGGGATCTGTTTGTTGCTTCTGTCCTCCCTTCTTCTTCTTTTTCTTCTTCTTTTTACCAGTCTCAGGTTCAGCAGCAACTTTTTCTGTCAACAACACCAGGTTAATGTGTTAATCTCATTATAGTTGCAGTGTTCTCCACAATCCAAATTAGCTGGTGGGCGGCCTAATTAGCATAAATTTGCATATCAATTTGCATATCATTTACATACAGCATTCTCGCATTTATGACATGAACTGCAATACACACTAAGTTATTTACTATTCTCTTTTTAATTTAATTTTAATAATTGGAACATGTTACAATTTTTTGAAATACAAACAGATTGGTCACTATCAATATTTACGAAATGCAAAAAGTTTGAAATCGGTGATTTATGCGTTCGCAAATTATTCTGCGTTCATGAAATGCAATTCGAGTAACCAAGAGCAAGTACAAAACATAATTGAGTTATAATGTAGAAA